ATACAGAAGAGTATCTGCCACTTTGCCTTGCGTATGTTGACTATGAAAAACCTTTAATTTCGTCGAAATTTGGGCGGTGCTACAGTCCCTTCAGCATGGTTGGTGAACACATAATCACAACGTAGTTATCGATTTATTTCATTCCAGCGTTCTCCTTAGGCGTTCACTTTCTAACAAATTCTTTTCTTTTTGGTAATGTTCTTTATCAGAATCGGTGGAGGACCTAAGCACTATGCTCAATGACCTCAATACTACTCAATACAAAACAACCTCAGAGATCGTGATACTCGGTGATTTCAACGCCCACCACGCTGAATGGCTTGGTTCTCGTTCAACCGATCATGCGGGTAGATCTGTCTATGACTTTGCTTTGGCATATGGTCTAACACAACTGGTTACTTCGCCCACGCGGATCCCAGATGTGGAAGACCATGTACCTTCCCTGTTGGACCTTCTGCTGACCTCTCATCCGGACGGATATCAGGTCTCCGTCGATGCCCCTCTGGGCTCTTCGGACCATTGTCTGATCCGGAGCACAGTGCCACTTACGCTCCAATCGCAGTTGCGATCTACAGCTTGCCGCCGTGTTTGGCACTATAGGTCAGCTGATTGGGACGGGATGCGGTCTTTTTTTGCATCCTACCCTTGGGGGCGGGTTTGCTTCTCGCCGGAAGATCCCAGCGTTGTTGCCGATTCTGTTGCTGATGTGGTACTTCAGGGTATGGAACTTTTTATTCCATCCTCTGTGGTGCCCATCGGAGGCAGATCCCAGCCATGGTTTGGTCGCTCCTGTAAAATAGCATCACGCTATAAGCAGGAGTGCTACCGGGCCTGGGCTGACGCATCAACGTCTCGGGATTTAAACACCAGCGCACTTAAAAAGAAGTATAATTCCGCCTCCAGGTCCTTCAAAAGCGTCATTGCCAAGGCAAGGTCTGAGCACATCGGCAGAATTGGCGAGAAGCTAGTTCGCCTTCCTTCGGGAACCCGTGCATTCTGGTCTCTCGCCAAGGCTGTCCAAGGGAACTTCTGTCAGCCATCCCTCCCATCTCTGCACAGAGAGGACGACTCACTGGCCCATGCCGCAAAAGAGAAAGCCGATCTGTTGTGCTCTCTTTTTGCGTCCAACTCGACTCTAGATGACGGGGGGAACACACCGCCGACCATCCTGCGATGTGAGTGCTCCATGCCGGATGTGCGATTTACACAGCGCTCGGTTCGCAAAGCACTCTTCTCCCTGGACGTCAGCAAGTCGAGTGGGCCCGATGGAGTCCCTCCCATTGTGCTGAAGACGTGTGCTCCGGAGTTGGCACCGGTTTTAACGCGTCTTTTCCGGTACTCCTACTCCCAAGGCGTAGTCCCGAATTCATGGAAGACAGCTTTGGTCCACCCGATCCCTAAAAAAGGCGACCGCTCAGACCCGTCCAACTACAGGCCTATTGCCATCACCTCCTTGTTCTCCAAAATAATGGAATCCATTATAAACTGCCAGCTCATGAGGTACCTTGAGGATCACCAGCTGATCAGTGACCGTCAGTACGGTTTTCGTCGGGGTCGATCAGCAGGTGATCTTTTAGTTTACTTAACTCATAGATGGGCGGAGGCAGTAGAGTCCAAGGGGGAGGCATTGGCCGTTAGTTTGGACATAGCGAAGGCCTTCGATCGGGTCTGGCACAAGGCGCTTCTTTCGAAGCTTCCTTCCTATGGGCTTCCCGAGAAATTGTGCAAATGGATCACCAGTTTCCTTGCTGATCGGAGCATCAAGGTCGTAGTAGACGGTGCATGCTCTGATTACAAGCCTATCAACGCTGGTGTTCCACAAGGCTGCGTGCTATCACCAACGCTGTTTCTCCTGCATATCAATGATATGTTGCTAACTGGTAGCATTCATTGCTATGCAGACGACAGCACTGGGGATGCCTTATATACCGGCCGTGCCAATATTTCTCGGGAAAACGTCGCCGAGTACCGGGACAAACTTGTGTCTGAAGTCGAGTCTTTGCTTAACAAAGTCTCGGATTGGGGCCGACTAAATCTAGTCCAGTTCAATCCCCAGAAGACACAAGTTTGCGCGTTTACCGCTAAAAAGAACCCCTTTGTCGTATCTCCTCAGTTTCAAGGCACTCCCCTTGCTGCCTCAGCCAGTATCGGAATCCTTGGCGTCGACATATCGAATAGCGTGCAGTTTCGTGGTCACTTGGAAGGGAAGGCCAAATTGGCCTCTAAAAAGCTTGGCGTGCTCAGCAGAGCGAGACAGTATTTCATGCCGGCACATCGCTTGCAACTTTACAAAGCGCAAGTTCGGCCCCACATGGAATACTGTTCTCATCTCTGGGCCGGGGCACCCCAGTGCCAGCTCCTTCCACTTGACCGCATCCAGCGCAGAGCGATTCGAATCGTCGACGACCGAGTTCTTTCCGATCGGCTCGATACACTGGCACTGCGTAGAGATGTTGCATCTCTTTGCGTATTTTATCGCATCTATCAAGGGGAGTGCTCTGAGGAATTGTTCGGACTAATTCCAGCCGCTCAATTTCACCATCGCACGTCGCGACAAAACTCGCGTTACCATCCATACCATCTGGATGATTGGCGGTCCACCACTGTGCGATTTAGAAGAAGTTTTCTCCCTCGCACAACTTCTTTGTGGAATCAATTACCACCAGCGAATTTTCCGAACCGATACGACTTAGGAACCTTCAAGAAAAGAGCTTACACCTTTCTAAAAGGCCGGCAACGCATCTGTAATTCCCCTGGTGTTGCGGTTGTTCATGGGCGGCGGTAGTCACTTAACATCAGGTGAGCCGCATGCTCGTTTGCCCCCTATTCTATAAAAAAAAAAAAAAAAAAAAAAAAGTGTTTCCCAACGGATAGGTCTTAAGATGAACATGGACAAAACAAAGATCATGTTTAATGTCCATGTCACACCTATGCCGGTAGTTGTTGGGAGCACTAAGCTCGAAGTTGTTGACGAGTATGTTTACCTGGGACAAATAGTCCGACTAGGTATGTCCAACTACGACCGAGAGTTCAATCGGCGGATTCAACTCGGTTGGCCAGCGTTCGGGAAATTACGGCACATCTTCTCGTCAGGTATACCTCAAAACTTGAAAACGAGACTGTACAACCTGTGCGTGTTGCCAGTGATGACCTATGGAACTGAGACGTAATCCTTCACTGCTGGCCGGATGAGGAAGCTCAAGGTCGCTCAGCGAGCTATGGAGAGGGCTATGCTCGGAGTTTCTCTGCGTGATAAACTTAGAAATGAGGATATCCGCAGTAGAACCAGAGTGACCGACATAGCCCAACGGATTAGTAAGCTGAAGTGGCAATGGGCCGGCCATATAGCTCGAAGAACCGACAACAGATGGGGAAAAAAGGTTCTCGAGTGGCATCCTCGTACCGGCAGGCGAAGTGTAAGGCGTCCCCCCACTAGATGGAGTGACGACCTGGTAAGATATGCAGGAAGTCGATGGATACAGGTGGCTCAGGACCGTGCTTTGTGGCATTCCTTGGGGGAGGCCTATGTTCAGCAGTGGACTAGTGAAGGGCTGTAATGATGATGAATGTTCTTTATAGTTAAGTGTAATGTTACTTGCCCTATACTCTTATATCTGTTATGACACGCTCTTGGTATATTAAGTATTATATAAGTGTAAACTTGTAAATGGCCTTAATTTTTGTCATAATTATATTATTTTTGTAAATTAGCTGTAAGTTTTACGAGCAAATAAAAAAATACAAAGGGCTTTTTTACTAAACAAACAGGGTTTCCAATAGATTGCCTCATAGTGCCTTCGACAGCTAATTCAGTGGTGGCCCCGGTTTTGCTCACTTGGTGGTTCAGGCATCATAGTCCCCCGAAATGTAAGGAGGGTTATCTGCTTTCAATGACGAAGGGGTGTTCCTGAAGATATCTCCAGCCGGAGGTAATCCTCTGCAATGCTCGTAATCTTCACAATGGCGTCGATAAACCGAAAAGATGCTTCAATGGACACAATGCAACCAAATATTCTGTATATTTAGCACAAAATCGTCCGAATAACCATTTAAGAGTATATTTTAACTATGAGCGCGTGCGTCACTCACACCGACCGAGCGCGCTTCCGAACCGAACGACAGCTGAAATCAGAATGTTTAGGTCGCTGCAGTGCAGAGCCCAACCGGCAATCCGAAGTAACTATAAGGCATCAACCGGAGGGATAATTGACATAGTTGCCATGCTTATAGTTGGGATGGCAACCAGGTTTTTAGGGTTTCGTACCCAAAGGGTAACCAACGGCACCCTATTACTAAGCCTGCGCTGTCCGTCCGTCTGTCTATCTGTCAGCGGGGCTGTGTCTCATGATCCGTTATAGGAAGACAGTTGAAATTTTCACGGAATGTGTATTTCTGATGGCGCTATTATAACAAATAAAAATAAATTAAAAATTAAAGGGGGCTCCCCTACCAGAAACATGTCTGGTGGTACGAAACCCTTTCTGGAAGATGGTATTGCCCATCCCGCTGACTTTTCATTTTCCTCCTGACGTCTCTTAGTTCACCTATGATGATGTTATGGCTTCGCCCACTAGTTCCTATATGGATATACAAAAATATCTAGGATATCTATGTAAGACAGATTTTTTCGCTCCCAGTAATTAGTTTATTTAACTATTAATTTAAGATTAGTTTTAACGCATTTTATTTGTGTACTGGCAAAACTTTTAGGAAAGTACCACGCTCTCAAAGTAAACCAGCGTAAAATAGCAGTTTAATGCTGCTGTGTTTCGTATGGTGAGTGAACCGCAAGACCCTCTTTACTGGAAACGAAGCATTCCATCTTAGGCCTCACGGGTGACAACACATCTACATTTTGATCCTTAATCGAGGATAAATGTAGATGTCTATGGGCCACAGTATCCACTTACCATCAGGCGGACTGTGTGGTCGTTTGTCATTTTTATACTATAAAAAATATGATTTTTAGCAGCTAGTGCAAACATTAAAAATTATTATACTTTGGATGTACAGCGAGCGCGTGGAGCCAGCCGCTGCTACGCGGGCCACAGAATTCTGACACGCTCACTGTCCCCACCAACTGTCAACATATAACAACCAACATTAGATAATTAGAATATTTTTTTTTTCAGTATAGGTTACATGTAATTCTTATTTAACCCTTTCGCTGTCCCGTGCGCTACATATAGGTCATTGCTATTGTCTTACTATTGTGTCTGCAAACTGGACAGTGAAAGTGTTAAAGTCGTTTTTACTTTTACCACTGCACCAGTAAGAAACCCAGCGGGCTTTTCTGCTTTCAAAGTAAATTATACATACACAAAATATAGTAAAAAATATTTACGAAGCTTATTTTAGAAACAGCGTGGAAGCGACCACCTCATTCCCAGGGGTTATCATCAACCATGTATTCATTTATATTACAATAACTCTTTTTATACAGTGTTTTTTTAATACCACGCAAATTACCTATAAGACGTACCCAACATCTAGCAATACCCAGAGATAACACTAATTATCGTCGCAACTGTTTCTTTATCTGCCCAAGTAACTTTTTCAATAATCTCATTAGGTAGCAACAACTTGGGAATTATTTCGGATTAAACCTACAAATATTAACAAGCTGTTTGCTTTAGAGTTTTTCGGCTCCCACACTATGTGTGAAACAAATATTTAGTTTTTTTCCCCCTTTTAAAGAATGCAATTTACTTAACTGATCGATTTTGTTTTGATTGAGCTCATGTGGTCTATATACATTTTAATTTTTATATGCGGATACCTCTTAATAGCTATGTAGATGTAAAGTTTTGTAATAAGTTCAATGTATAATAGCTGTTGATGTTCCGAATAAAATATTTAAACTTGATAATAGAGAGACCTTGCATATTTTCTGGAACTTTGTTGTAATAGCGTATATTTTGCCCCATGAATGAATTTCTGACTCTGTGGAGTCAAGTAACTGGTATCACTAGCTTGTGTTTCTTGCTAGAGTTTACAGAGTGTATATCACATTTTTTACTAAAACTACTCTTGTTTTTGTGAACATACATTAAATTTTATTGAATATACCGACAATGAGAGGCCAAATACTTATTTCTATAAAATTTTCTCTCTTCTCATTTATTCCCTAGACATGAAAAGGTTAAAAAATAAATAATTTTGATTTTATTCAATTATTAAAGCATTATACCTATTGCTAACCTTTGAATGCACAGGCTGGGAAGACTGTGAGCAAACTTGAAGGGATGTATGTATGGGAACTCGTCCAGGTGGCGCATCCATTATGAGAGGCCCTCTTGCTTCAGCCACCAAACCAAATAGCTCTTTGTGAATTTTCTGTAATGATATTGGTTTTCATGATTTATCTTGAATTTTGAGAGAACACATTTTTTGTTAGCTAAATTATAAAGGAAGTGAAATTTTTAATATATATTTCGTTGTTTTTCTTTTTATTCTTACATTGTGATCTGATTCTTAGTGTTGTTCAAAATTTCAAGTCTCTAACTCACTGGGGAGTTAGTTTAAAATTAATTACTAAATTCGACCCGAACAGACACACGAAAGCGAGTTAATATAATTTAAAATTAAAAATTTTGTACAGCCGACTTCAATATAAGTTATTTAAGAATAACTTAAAAACTATTGGTCTGACCTTGATCAAATTCATATGGGACCACACGAGAAGTACCAGCTTTCAAATAAAAAAAGAATCATCGAAATCGGTTCACCCAGAAAAAAGTTCTGAGGTAACACACATAAAAAAAAACGAAAAAAAAAACATACAGTCGAATTGAGTACCGGCTCCTTTTTGGAAGTCGGCAGAAAAACGTGGTAAAATGATAACTGGTATTATCCATATGGTATGTTTATCCTTATTTCAACACCGTTACCATGATAGCGCATTAAAAGATTGCTTTATAGGGGAGATATTTGCCATAGTTGCCATGGTTGGCAAGCGGGTTAGCAACTGCAGTTTTTGAAGTGAAAACTTCTTTAGAATCGTTGTGATTTGAAACTCGATGAAATGAAAGTGCGACACTAAAAAGAGACAAACATATACATCTATAGGATTTAGCCTGTGAGAGAATAAGATAGAATACAGTATTAAATGTTTCCTATTATCTTAGTCTCCTTTTCTGAAGGTTTTACTTCTACTGCGTGTGAACTGCACACGTTTTTAAAATGAAAGCAAAGGTGTAAATAATAATAATAATTCGGCCATTTGGTCTCCCCTGCCGAGGACTTCCATCTGGTTGGGTCTATATTTATATATGTATTTTTTATTAATTTATTTTACTATATTAATATATATCTATGTATATTCATAATTGGGGGATGAATCGCTCGCGTCCGTAGGCTTCGACCGCCTAACCCTAGGCCCGCTATACACGTGTCCCCCGGGTGGTGCTAAACGAGCGACAAAGCCGAAAGGATAGACTCGGCACCTCGCCGCATATAATGTACGTACGTAAAAATATTATTATGTTAGGAGATTTTAATGGAAGGGTTGGGGTGAAGAAGTCTGGTTATGAAAGGATATTAGGTACGTTTGGCGATGAAAGTATAAATGAGAATGGTGGAGGTCTTCACCATTCTCATTACTTCACCGTACTTTCTCATTCTTTCACCGCATGTGTGGAATAGAATATTTTTGTGACAAACACTTTCTTTCGCCATAAGAGGATTTACATGTATACATGGGAAAGAGGGTATGATAGAAGCATGATAGATTTCATAATTGTGGATAAAAGAATGAGGAGAGCAGTGGTAGATACAAGGGTTTACCGGGGGTCCAAAGTAGGGACGGATCATTACTTGGTCTTATGCCGAATTAATGGTCTATTCAGGCGTTGGCGGCATCGGACATCTGTGTCTACTACTGCGTTACAGCGTATAGGAATAGAGAGGTTACAAGATGAAGGTGTGTAAGAGAAGTATAAATGTAGACTGAGCGAAAATATAAGTGGTTTGAATGAATTATGTATGAACGATTTAGACTTGAATACTGTATGGAATAATGTTAAGAAAGTTTTAGTGGATGCAGCCACCGAAGTATGTGGTGTAACTAAGAGAACGAATGAAAGGAAAAGTAATACGTTGTGGTGGGATGATGAGGTACGGATGGAAGTTGAAGCAAAGAAGAGAGCATGGCTAGCAACCAAAGCTGGTAATTCTGATGGTATGTATGATGAGATTGAAAGAAAAAAGGCATACTTTAGACGTAAATGTTTAGATAAGAGAGTAAAAGAAGTTTTTGAAAGGAAAAAGCAAGAAAGGATGGATAAGAATGATAGAAAGATATCTGATAACTTCCAGGCAAATATTAAAATGTTCTGGTATCTTGTAAGAACTGCCAGGGGAAATTCAAAACAGCCTAGTATGAATGCTATGCGGCTGCATGCTGAATGATGAAGTTTCGAAATTAAAGAGATGGAAGGAATACTTTGAAAGCATGTTTAAGAGTGAAGAGTCGTCTGAATTAAGTGAAATAGAAATTCCGAAAGAAGTGGAGAGAGGTAGGGAGATAAGTGTAGATGAAATAATGAAAGCAATGAAAAGCATGCAAGCAGGTAAGGCAGCCGGATATGATAGAGTATCACTCGAAATGCTAAGGGCTGGAGAGGGTGTGGTTGCAGGCCAGGGATTGCATGACCAAAAAATTATGGGTTATAACGGTTAAGGGTATGACGTCATACCTTTTTATTGCGATAGCTTAAAATTCAGATACACAAATTTTTCGGTACCGAAAAATAAGGGTACCGTTATATTTTTCGCTACTTTAACCATCAACATAAAGGTTTCTTTCGGTTACCGCCAGCCGACCGTGACACCCCATCGACCCCGCACTGCACGCACTAGCAAACAAATTACCTTAGCTTTATATAACAAGGTGACCCAGTGTGGCGAAAAATATATCATGTTGCTATTTCTTGTCTTCGTATGACTTTGAAACTCAACCAAATTTGAACTTATAGTTGAAAATTTATATAATAACAATATTTTTTTTTAATTTAAGCAAAGTTCGAATCCGGACGAGTTTTAAAGCAAAACCAAGGCATCCAAAGTTGCAACTCTTAATATTATTTTCACGTATTTCAAAAGCATTTAAGGTCAAACACAAAAAAAAAAGAAAATCCCGTCACACTGCGTCGTCATTACCTTAACGGATTCGATATAATAAGAAGAAAATTATCCATTAATAATTATCATAATATTTTAGTTTTTCTTAAGGTATTTACACAGTATTTTTTTACATGTATTTATTCGACAGTGGCGAAGCTAGGGCTCCAAACTAGGGCAAACTCAAGATATGGTTTTGTTATTTTTAGCAGTTTTATAAAAATAGCATACCTCCGGTGATTTTGAAAAAAGGCGTTTGGGTTTGCTTGAGCGAAAGAAAAAGATATTTACATACAATACAATACATGAACAAAAGAAAAGCATGAACAAAACAAAGTACAAACACACTATGTACAAAATAAAAAAAAGACAAATTATTTATATTCTCAATCGAATCGTCTCTCTTTCTTAAAGAAAGATTTGATTACGTCCGCGTGAAATTTAGGTGAATGTTTTAATTCTACCAATAACTATTTCTAAAAGGCAATTTTTTTTAAAAATAGAACTCCATAAGCCAATTGCTCAATATTAACAAAAAAAAAAACAAAGTTCTATTAATTTTCCTGCAACGCTTCCCGCGCTATTCATTTAAAACGATGGATCTTAACCGTGAACATTTGCGCGCTATGATATATTATGGTTTAACCGAACAATTAAGTTTACAACGGTTACAGTCAGCATTAGGGGACTCAGCTCCATCACGCGCAACAATTTTAGGTGGTTTGCTGAATTCAAAAGGGGTAAAATTAATCCTAAAGATGATCAAAGAACCGGAGCCCCGCAAACAGCAGTAACGTCAGAAAATGTATGGACTACTGAAATATTGGTGCGAGAAGACCCACGAATCACATAAACGGACATTGATAAGATTGTAGGCATTAGTTCGGGGAGCATCCTACATCAACATCCTACATCATGCCATCCTACATCAACATCTTGGAGTGAGGAAGCTTTGTTGTCGATGGATCCCTCGTTTGCTCTCCGAAAGCGAAGGTGATGGTTGAAGGTTTCTAAGTCGTATCTTAGGCTACTTTTATTTTAGGGTTAGATGGAGACATTTATAGAAGAGTATCTATCAGTATATATCGTATCGGTCCGGAAAATTCGCTGGTGGTAATCGATTCCACAAGGAAGTTGTGCGAGGGAGAAAACTTTTTCTAAATCGCACAGTGGTGGACCGCCAATCATACAGATGGTATGGATTGTAACGCGAGTTTTGTCGCGATGTGCGATGGTGAAATTGAGCGGCTGGAATTAGTCCGAACAATTCCTCAGAGCACTCACCGTGATAGATGCGATAAAATACATAAAAGAGATGCAACATCTCAACGAAGTGCCTGTGTATCGAGCCGATGAGAAAGAACAGACACAAGTTTGTCCCGGTACTCGGCGACGTTTTCCCGAGAAATATTGGCACGGCCGGTATATAAGGCATAACCAGTGCTGTCGTCTGCATAGCAATGAATGCTACCAGTTAGCAACATATCATTGATATGCAGGAGAAACAGCGTTGGTGATAGCACGCAGCCTTGTGGAACACCAGCGTTGATAGGCTTGAAATCAGAGCATGCACCATCTACTACGACCTTGATGCTCCGATCAGCAAGGAAACTTGTGATACATTTGCAAAATTTCTCGGGAAGCCCATAGGAAAGAATCTTCGAAAGAAACGCTTTGTGCCAGACCCGATCGAAGGCCTTCGCTATGTCCAAACTAACGGCCAATGCCTCTCCCTTGGACTCTACTGCTTCCGCCCATCTATGAGTCAGATAGATTAGAAGATCACCAGCTGATAGACCCCGACGAAAACCGTACTGGCGGTCACTAATCAGCTAGTGATCCTCAAGGTACCTCAAGAGCTGGCAATTTATAATGGATTCCATTATTTTGGAGAACAAGGAGGTGATGGCGATAGGCTTGTAGTTGGACGGGTCTGAGCGATCGCCTTTTTTAGGGATCGGGTGGACCAAAGCTGTCTTCCGTGAATTCGGGACTACGCCTTGGGAGTAGGAGTACCGGTAAAGATGCGTAAAAACCGGTGCCAACTCTGGAGCACACGTCTTCAGCACAATGGGAGGGACTCCATCGGGCCCACTCGACTTGCTGACGTCCAGGGAGAAGAGTGCTTTGTGAACCGAGCGCTGTGTAAACCGCACATCCGGCATGGAGCACTCACATCGCGGGATGGTCTGCGGTGTGTTCCCCCCGTCATCTAG